ACTGACCAAAGTGATATTTCCTACCATAGGACAACATGCTCAGCAATAAAAACTGGGGAGTGTGTTTTACCATGGCTGCCATTGCTCAAGGACCGGATGGGCATCGGTTTGCCAATAGTGAACAACTGGGGTTTTTTTAATCACTTGTTTTCCTTGGGTTTGTTTTTCATTGTTTCCTTCTTTTACTTATTAAATGATCTTTATCTCAACCCATGAGTTTTCTCACTTTTACCCTTCTGAATCTCTCCCTCCATCCCACTCCAGGGGGGCAGCTGGAGCAAGTGAGCAGTTGTGAGGGGCTGAGCTCTCATTGAATTCAATTGAGTTCAATTAAAAACACATGAATACTCCACTAGTTTAAAATACACTTATAAGCAATACAATTTATTCCGATAAATATATTTTGTACTTAAGAGCAATGCTGTACCGGTTTTAGATGGAGAGATATCAGCAATGATAGCTGGATGACATTTAGTAGGTTCTACATTTATTCAGGAAGGCAAAGAAGTACAACGACTTTGCTCAATTTCCAACTCCCACTCAGCCTTGCAATTTGAAATAAATTAATTAAATTTGGCATAGAAACAATAAAAATTGAAATAAAGCCAACATGTTCTGGAATCTCTAGAAGACACTACTGATATCAAAAGACGGTTTATCACATCAACAAAGTATGTTTTCAGCTGCTTTACCAGTGACTTCTCTCAAGTCAAGATTAAACTTTCCTTAAATTTCAGCTGTCACTATGCATAATTTGAAAATTACTTGCATTTTACTTAAATAATTTAAAAATGTGATAGATTACTTTAAAAAACCTAATACATATACAATTTGAGGTATTGAGTACAAGAATTTTTCCTACTGTGTTTTTTAATATTTTTCAAGTATATACTGAAAATCAGTTTCATTCTGCTATTGGTCAACAAATTGTTATCTCTCAGTTCGGAGGTAAAATTACATCTGCTGAGAAAAATCATTCTAAAGTATCTCCTCAGTGAAAATCTGCAAATACTTCACAACATGCTGGGCTACTGAAGGACAAAGCAAGCAGAGACCACCAAACACAGACCTAGCTAACACCACGTTAATGTTAACAGAAAGTAAGAACCAGGTGTCCTGGGAAGCAAGAGGTCTTCTCCATCTTGCACCAGTGCTGCTATAGAGGGAGAGCATTGGCAAGGCACAGAAGAGGCAGAACCAGATAAAAGACCAACAAAGGGTCCCTGTTTTCTAGCATTTGGGAAAGCTGTAATAACAGGTTGGTGAACAACATGAGAGGTACAGGCAGGGAGTCTCAAAGGTGCAGTAATGTGAAAGGATGCTCAGGGGCCTGCTGGAGAAGGAAGGGGATGATGCTGTCTGGTACAGTATACTCAGTGCATCAGAGTTAGGAAGAGGCAGTAAGGATTTTTCAGCTTTTTATTTTATTGCCTAAGTTTCCTGCCTGAGCAAATATCACTGCTGAGGGAAAATAAGTCTATCTGCTAATTTTTAATGGTAAGATACCCATCTTCCTGTGTTTCAGCCATGGTATAATTCCTAAGGCAGACAGGCCCAGATGAAAAAAATATGGAGAGATATTCCCTCCATCTATAAAAGAGATACTGAAAACTGAGGCAAAGATACCTTTTAATGAGTCTTTTCCGTTTTACTAAGAATTTAATTGTACGGGAGATTTCAAGTGGCTAACACCCAGCAGGACTTCAGGAAAACAAATGGGCCACATACCTTCCATACAGAGGCACCACCAACACAGGCATGAACGCACGATGCTGTGCGTTTCTGTAACATGACTTCCTGCCATGAAGAACTCCTGTCATATCTGCACTTGGGCACATTACTGTTTTCTTCCTGGCAAGCTGTGGCAGCTCTTGCTTTGCACAGTTTCCTGAATGACTGCATTAATTTGATTGACTCCAGATCAATGGTGTCTCTAAATAAGATTAAATTACACGTTCCTTCTGTCTGTGTGTTACAGGACTCTTAGCAGAATCTCAAAGGAAGCAATTAGCTGACCACTGATGCAATGAATTCTAATTATTTTGTTTGTACAAACAATAAAGCTAGAATCATTTGTTTAGCAAGGAAGTGTAATTACTCTGAGCACTCGAGAAAATAAATCAAACAGCGCTACCTAGACCTGTAAATAATGAGCCTTTGACTTCCTATTTATGCTAAGAACGCTCACAGAATATTTCAGGTAGCTGGGAGCCAACCTTTGAAAGTAACATTTATCATGGTTATTATTGAGCGTTTGCTTGATTATGTCCTTGGGTGTGCTAGGTACCCTGCAGAAATATCCATCTACATTGCCCTGTCACTGGCACCTGCTAAAAATTCACTGCAGCCAGTGCAATTTCCTGCAACTGTTTTTTGTTAATCAACAAGAAGTCGCTCACATCGCAATCATTAGCCTGTACTGCTCCTAAGGGCACCAATGGCTAGGGGCACGTCCTCAACAAAGGATGAATGATCAGAAAAGGAAAAAAAAAAAAGCACATTACTATACATGGAGCAGGCTCTATACTACCCAACATTTGGCCAAGCAGCCTAGAAATGGAATAAAACCATAAGGCAATGGAAGGAGACTGACCACAGCTGGGTCTTCCCCGTCTCCAGGTTGATCTGCTGCTATGGCAAAATATTCACAGCTCAAACGGGAGAGACAAGCAGAGTCACAGGCAACCTTATGTTGCAGAAAGCAGAGATCAGGCCAAAAATACATGAAATTCTGCCACCTCTGCTGATTTTGTGTGACCCAAAAGCACGAGGGAGCCGAGAAGTTAGAGATAACCTGATCCCATTGCATGCAAACTCTCTAGATGTTGCAAGAACAGGGATGGAGGTCCCAGCCATGTGTACCTTCTGCAGATACTAACTCCCAAGATCAGCCATTCTCTCAGGCTAGTTGGTTTCCTTCACCATGCTTTTGAAAGGATATTCAAAACATACAAAAATATTTTGCCTAATCTTTCTTTCATTTCTAGCCACACTTTAGGTGTTAAATCTGAATTTAAAATAAACTGCAAAGCCACTAATTCTGCAGTTGGTTTGCTTTTCCTCTTCTCAGCCTGAACAACAATGCACCCAAAAGAGATCAGCATTATTTTCTGGTTCTCTTAAGCAGTGCTCAACAATCTTACAGTAACACAGGCTCACATCCTGATAAAAGCCTTAGCCTGAATCAAAAAAAGACACCTCTGCTTACAGCACTTGGATTCTCACTGTTTAAATACGGAATGAATGCTCTGAAGTCAGCAAAATTGCACGGAAGTGAGCAAGGTGTAAGTTACTGCAACGTGTACTGGCTGAAGGGAAACTGCAAATCACTTGTTGGTGCAATGGGAGCCATTTCAGTCACACTTATGAAGTATTTCACTTTTTTGCTCCTTCCCACCCCGAGCTGTTTCTCTTTGTTTGTGCTCAGCAGCCATTAAAAACTCATAGAAGGTTTTTTTGGTGCTCTTGCTGTAGGCCTAATTGACAAACATTTGCTGTATGCCATTATGCTAGTCCTTCAGAGAAGTTCAGCAGGAATAAATACCACCTAGCCTGAAGCAGGTGGACAGATGAATTAACAAGTGATATCTAATTGTGCAGTGGAGATGGGTTTATGCCTAAAGCTTTTGTTTTTTTTTCTCCTATGAACAACTTGACCCAACCAAATCATACGAAAGCAGAGAATACCGCAGTTGGTCTGCTGGAACATCCCCTTTAGGCCTCTTCTAGGGAAAATCAGCACTACAAAATGTTTGGCTGCCTCTACACCAAGTATTAAAATGCCATTTTGTTTTTGTAGCCTGAAAAATTCTGGTGACCTTACTGGATGCCCAACAGTACTGAACAATTAATGCTGAGCTAGACAGGCAAGAACAGAAACTCTTTGGAGGTTTTCAGGAAAGCTGAACTGCAGCCAAAACTATTCAGGGGATGTATGAAAACTACTTAAATTGGTCAGTATTTTGCTGGGGAAAAATATTGGAGATGCTACTCAACATTTTAATACCGAAGGAATGAGGAATGAGAAAAGTCTTGATTTCTGGCCATACTAGAAGTGAGCTGTACTGCACCCTTTAAATATTGGTCCCTTCTAAAGAGATGTTGCAACAGGAGAAATCAAGGCTTTGATTTAGCTTAAGATGATTATGTGATTATGTTCCTGCAACATGTTATTCATCCAATCTACCATGTGTTGGGCAAATAAAGCCTTTTTCTATTCCTTCTGAAAGCAAACAGAAAGTGAGATGACAGTAAAAAGTAGAAGCTAAGAGTGTCTACAAACAAAGCAAATTGTGACAGAGAGAAAAGACTCAGTTCAACACTGCTCAGGTCAACAGGAAAACTTGCAGACTTTAAGAAAATGGGATGACAAATGCTGCTTGGGTTTAATAAGAAACTGGCAGCATTTTGTTTTCTTTAAGCTTCTCCTTATCGTCTCCTCTACTGCTTCTGTTTCTTATGTCATCACTGCCAAAAGAAAATCCTTCACAGGAGGAATTCTTCTGCTTAGAATAAGGATTTAGTCTAATAACATTAAACAAATCTCTTGACTTTCTCTGTTTTTCTGCATTAGAAAGAAAATAGGCTGAATGATCCAAAGCAATTTTTTCAGAAGTGTCTGAAGAATTAGAAGTCCCATTTTCAAAATTATTTTAGGCACCTGATCGCTAAATCCTTTAGAGGGAGATGTGGGCTCTCCCTTAGTCTCTTTTGAAAAATGAATTAAGTTAATGTAGCATGTATAGGTACAAAAACTGAGTTCCCCTTACTCTCCCAGGAGATGGATATTTAGCTTCTAGAGACACAGTAAGCATAGATCAAGAGTAAACACCCTTTAGTATTTTTCCTTTTAAAATCTGGAGAAGATAAACTTCTATTTAAGAGAGTCTCTTAATAAGCAAATTAATCTCAAGAATCTTTAGAAAAGTTTAACTTAAAATAATTATCTGAAAAATGTCTCATCAAAGATTTTTTAGCTTTATGATAGAAAACTGTCATACCTTTCTGAATCTGTCTGGTTCTTCCAAAGATGCAGGACTCTGTTTAAAAGAAAAAAAAAGGGGAGGGGGAAATAATCATGAACTTAAGATCCCAGTGGAGCCTATAAATGAGTATTCACCTCACAGGGGACGTTTCTTTCAAATTCATGGTCACCTGGATAGAGTGAACCAGCAGGAGATATTTTTTCTTTAATGAGCTTTTTAACACACATTAGGCAGAAAGCTGAAACGTTTTCAGATTCTCGACCATCTGAATCAGGTGAGCAGTTCTCTCGGCAATAGCTTTCACTTTACTGACACCTATTGACGCTATTTATGCTTACATGAGGTTTCGGTCAACAAAGCTTAACTCATAATAATCAATGGCCAACAATTCTTAGAAATCTGCTCTTTATTAATAGAGATCATGCTTACCTTACGTGCACTTTAAAGGATTTGTATTCTAAGTAAGCTTTGGATTTGAAGACAAAGTTTCCCAAAGCAGAAAATTTTCAGGTGCCTCAAATTTTATGTGTTCGAGTTCAGATACCTTCCAAAGCACTTTGTATACAGAAAGTACCAAATGCACACCTGTAAAGTCTATTCCTCTGATTATCTTGAACACATAATCTAATTACTTAAGCTTGAAAACTCTTAATTAATAATTATGTATGTTTATGCTAAGAGCATGGAAATATCTTTAGCATGTCCTGGAATATCTTATATATGGGGATGAATTCTGCCATCCATAGCTTGTCTTACATACAACAACTTGGTGATTTCTTTAATCATTTGGTTCTTGCATTAAAATACCTCCTCTTTACTTCATTCCAAATCCTTAGCCCATAAAGACAATTCTAAAAAGGACTGGGTCCTACTGTGCATAGTTACTTTCTGAGTCAGTTCAGTCAGTGATCACCCTGATCACTGTCTCACAGCAGGAGACACAAATGACAAACACTGAATATATTCTTACTACAGGAACTGCTGAAAAAATAATTCAATGGAGAATGTTGTGTGGAGAAAGGGCAAAAAAACAGAAATCCATGTGCCCAGCAATAGGTGTAATAGCCAAAATATTCACACACACAAACATCTCACACCCCAAATGTGTGCATCTTTGACAACAGCCAATTTTGAACCGTCCATTTTGAGAAATATTCGCAGCATTGCTTACTAAGGGGAAAAAGCACATAACTTTTATTTTAATCCAAGGATATTTGTGCTCATATTTATAAATACACGGCTATTTTTGTTCTGGTTTTGATAGCACTTACTAAGTGAGTTTTTAATTAAGCGGACACACGTACGTACTGTTGTATTATGACTATTAATGTGAAGCAAGTTAAAAGAGCAATGGCAGAGATTAGCAACTGTAAACCGCGTGCTGTCCCCTACCGGTGAACTCATGTACTCTTTCAGTTTAGATTTGTAGAGCATCCATCGGTAACGGAGGTCCTCCAGATCTTCAGAACTTCCAATGACAGGCTGAAGATCAAGAAGGTCCTCAAAAAGACTCTGACCATCAGGCACACGAGACTGCAGCTCCTGCAGGCAAAGACAAGGTCAGCAGCAATTCAGAATTCAAGAAGGCCCCACTTTTTAAACCTAGCATTCAATAGAACAGTGGTACTAAATCAAACTAGTGGGTACTCTGGAATAGTGCATTTATTTTTGTTATTGGATTTTTTGGCCCGAAATGTTATAAAAGGGTCAGCTCATCTGAAGGACTCCTGGTAGCCTTGGATATTTCTGTTTAATTTCTTACAGCATCTAGTGTCATTGTCTCTGGCTACATTCAACAGAAAGAGTGAGGTCAAATACATTACACTGATTTTAATCAGTTTATTTTAATGAACACCTTTGCCATACCACACCAGAAATTTCCAGTCCGACAGCTAGATGCCAGGCTGTTCCCTTCCTTTCCACCACTCTAGCTCTGGCAGATCTTTCTTAGTAGAAGGGGTGAAATACTTGTCCTAAATTCCTGAGCTTCATCTACTCTAGAGCCTCTGACACTCCTAAAGCAGAGAGTGTAGTATTTGGGGGGGGATTTTGGTGGGTTTTTCAGGTGGTGGGGGTGGTGTTTGTTTTCGTGATGTTTGGGGTTTTTTTGGGTTCTTGTTGGTTGGTTGGTTTATTTGGGGGTTTTTGTTTGTTGTTTTTTATTTTGGTTTTTTTTGTTTGCTTTTTGTTTGGTTGGTTTTAATTCTGAAAGAATTTGCACTAATTGTAATCTTTGTCTCCATCTCTATCCCCTAAAAACTAACCTGCAGTTTGCTCTGACGTGCCTTCATTTCCTCTGCAGAAGATGGAGTCACAGCAAGAATTTTGGTCAGTTTGGTGTTTTCTCCTTGTAACCATGCTTCAAAGTCGTGTAGGAGCTTCAAGTGGCTGCTCGGTTGTTGCCCTTCTATTGCCTCCTAGGTTACAGAACAACAGGAACAAAAAAGCCCTTACTGTTATGTCAGATGTTTCCTCTGAAGGCCTAATTAGAAGACCTTAACCTCCAACTTTGTAAACCATAATATTAGATGAAGCCAATAAAATTGTTCTTGTAAAGCTGATATGAAGACAGAGTCGCCCTCTCACCTGCTTATGGTTCTGATATATGTCTAAATGAGGGGTGGTAGGTCCAGACATCCATCTGCTGTCCACAAATGCTATTTTCTTCTTCTTATCAGCCATTGGTCTATTTAACTGCCACTTTTTGAGAAGACTTGAAAACACAAAACCAGAGACATCAGTGCAGTGAAACATCCAATGATGAAACATTCACATTTTGAGTAGGGCTATAGGGGACACCTCTAGTGAAATAGTAATAATACTATAACAAGAATAGTGCTATTAATAACAGTATTGCTATTAAAGTTATTTCCAACATCTTTTTAACAAGATCAAGACAGGAGTGTCTCAAATCAACACCTGTCCCCTAGTTCTAACATTTTTTTAACATTTTTTAAAATTTTTATTCAGGGGGCCAAAAATTACTACCTTGACAATACGCCTTCCTGTCTGGTAACAGCAGGCAGTACAATCAAGCCTTACTCAATTTAGTCATTTCATTTTTATGCCTATTCTGACACTATGTCTGGATATATTCACACATGTAGCACAGTATAAAATTTTAATACAGACTAGCAAATATGAGCAGCAGTTTGACACTGCAGAGTGAGGGCAAAATAAATTAAGTCCCCATTTGCCAGCTAAGAGGATTTTAGCTCTGTTTATACTCTTGCAGGTTTGCAAAAGGCACAAATCCCAGTACAGATACAGCCTCCCTGGAGGTATCTCCAGATCAGTCAGTGAGGAGAACAGGAAAGTGAGGCAGAACTCAGCCTATGTCCTACTTCCTCTGACATGGACCGGCAGTACGCTGCATCCTAAGGAGACACTGCCTACTCCAAGTGTGAGGTAAAGGCAGTATCACAGGCTGCTCTGGTCCCCACATTCTCTAGAACGGTTTTCTTGAAAGTAATGATTTCCAGTTTATAAACAATTAAACGAAACCTCATATTACTCCTTGCATTGTAACATAGCTCATCACTTTCACAGCACAGAGCATGAAGCATCAAGTGTGTCTGGTCATATAGCAGTAAAGAGCATCCCCTTGAAGGGACATGAGGAATATGTACAGGAACACTTACCCAGTTGCCATCTCCTTCAGTGATCTCCATGACTCCTTCAGCTGATCCAGCTCTGCCTGGACATGGGTAGTCTCCTCTGGGGAAGAATTCTCCATGACCAGCTGGCCATGAGCTTCCACAAGGTGCAGCTGGACCTCCTTATCTGGAAACTCAGCTAGCCATTTCTGAAACGTACAGTCCTTACAGTTACTTCTAGGTATCCTGGGTAAAGCAGAGGCTATGTCAGACTGAAGGCCATGTTCAGTCCAGGACTATGCTGGTTCTGTTGGCACTAGCTAGAACATACCTAGCGGGGAAAAAAAATATGCTGTGGATTCCTGCAAAGAGCCAACATAGGTCAAACAGCTGATGGCAAAACTTAAAGGGTGCAAGCTGTCAATGCACCCCTTCTGTAGCCTTCCCATGAGGTATCTTGATTTCCCATATGAAGGCAAAAGCTGCCAGCTAAAGTAACCTGGCAGAGTGAATCTAGCATGCAAAATACTGCCACGCAGGGAAAAGCTAGCAGCTGTGGAACGGCTCGGTTCAACACAGTATAAGGTTAGCTGGCACAGTAATAAAGGTCAATGTATCGATGAGTACATAAAGGCAAAGGTAGGTATTGTCCAGAAAGATCACCTTGGCAGGAAGAGCTTCTTTTAAAACCACCTATTCTTTGACAATACTTTATCCATCTCCACAGTTCTTAGCTATTTCTCGCTGTTCTTGTCTTTTACCTAGCTCCACATCCCACAACAGAGGGCAAAGCAGGGAGGCAGCAGCAACCAACAGTTATTGCAGGAGGAACAAACTATCATTACTCTCCCCAACCAAGCAACCCTCACTAGAAAACCTCTGTCCTTAATGTCTGAATGCTGCAAAGTGAATAATTAACATCTTACAGTAAGATGCATTTCTCACCTGAAGGTCTGCCAACCTGCCCTCAGTGCTCTGCTCTCCATCAGCACCCTGGTAGGAGTCAATCTTCTCCGTGGTTACTGTGATCCACCGCTGGAGGTCAGAGAGTTTGTCATTATACGCCCAATGCTTCTGCACGTGCTCTTCTCTCTGCTGTATCATCACCTACAAATGACAAAAATGTCAGCAACTAAACACAGAAAAAAAAGCAGTTTCAGTACTGGATCTAACACTGTGACTTCTGGCACAGAATCTCATGGGCAAAAAGATAAAAAAACAGATGCAGAAAACCTTTGTCCTTTAGCCTTAGTGGCATAGAAAACACCTACAAGCTCCTGCGGGCTGGAATTCAACCACACGGGGGTGGCATTAAGCACTAGAATAGCTCTCTTCAGCTGAAACAGAATAATGAATATGTTTGGGGTTTTTTTATACCCCAGTCAATATTAAATACCTCTTATACTCCCTGAATCAGAAATGGCCGTACATACTTTTTTGGCAAAAGTCCATTTCAGCAATAAATGGAATTACTGAGATTGAAACTAGAATTCCACAATGCATCTTAGGGTAATACTTTATCATATGTATTTTTACAGTGACCTGCACAACTAAGGTAATTTTACAAACTCTTCTTCTGAGACTGATTTGTAGTGTCATTTTATAGCTATGTTTAAACTAGAAAATGCCTCAGGTCAAAACAAGTACTTAGGCAATGGCAACTCATTTCTCTCATTAACTTTTAGGTCACAAAGCTATTAAAAAATCAAACAGTTGGGTACAAGACCACTATTCAGGAATCTGTGAAGATGTCCAAGCACCTCCATGATAATATAACTATGAGGTCTTTTGGTAAGAAATCTCAGGTCCACTCCAGAAACAATTTAAATAGATATAAAATCTGTGTGGATGGTATCCTATCCCAAAGGGAAATCACATTACAGACAATCATAGAATTCTGGAATAGTTATCAAATTCATAAGAATTCCTCCCCTGAAATGAAAATATCGGTCACTCAAAGCATATAATCTCAAATGCTCAAAGATTTTAAAATAGTGGCAACTGACAACTCCTCAGGCAACCAAAAACTCTTCCTTATGTTACCTCCAACAACCTCTTCAGGGCCTGAGAGTCAGATGAAAGTTGGTTCATTTCATGCCTGTGTGTGGTATTTGACTGAACAAGCTTCTCTACTGCCTCCATTTGAATTCCAAGCTCTGCCAAGTCATCTTGGATCATCTGCAGAGGAAAAGACAGATTCCATATGGGTAATATGCTAGATGTGGCATGGACCTCCACAAAACACACACTAAGGGTAGATTCATTTGACAGTGTGAGGACAGGAAAAAAAAATAGAATAATAGCTGCCTTTAAGAAAATAAATTGCTTTGGTGTCTAGTAGTAAATGTTTTCCTGAGCTTTTCTGAGGAGGAAAAGACCAGGGCAGCACAGGGACCCGTGAGGCTGGCTGACAAGGCACTGGCAGGACCAGCCTCAGCGGCAGCAGATTTAAACAAGGTGTAACCACCACCAACAGTCACTCACCAGACGTGGCTGTCAACCAGGATGTGGTGCCACGAGGTGAGAGCCAAAAGCAATAAAGAGGACTTACAGAGGGTGGAAGCATGAACAGGTAGCCTGGGAGGAATACAGAGAAACTGTCTGAGCAGCCAGGAACCAGATTAGGCAAGCTAAAGTCCAGATAGAATTAAATCTGGCCAGGGATATCAAGGACAAGAAGAAAAACTTCTATAAGTACGTCAGAGAGAAAGGAAGACTAAGGAAGACATGGGCCCTCCCTGGAAGGAAACAGGAGACCTGGTTATCCAAGATATAGAGAAAGCTGAGGTACCGAATCACTTTTTCTCCTCAGTCTTCACTGGCAAAATATGAACAAACGGGACCGCAATTAACTGAGAATATGACGGTCAAACATTGCTGTAATGTACCTGGAGTCTCTGGAGTTGTGTCTTTTTACCCAAGAGGTCAGGCCGCGGTTCCTTCTCTAGATCTAATTTGGCTTTGATGGCACATAATTTCTTCTGCAAAGGCGCAAAACCAGCATCAAAGTCCTTATGTTGTGATATCAAATTCTAGATTGAGGAAAAGGGAGAAAAAAAACCATAAACCGGCATTCACCACATATCCCTTGGCATTATTTTTTGTCAATGTTCATTTCATACTCAGAACAAACATCAAGCTACTCTATGCAACAGACTGCAGATCTATTTGAATATTTGATCAACCTTCAAAAATGGATTGGGCACAGCTGATTAGTACTAAATTCATATCTATAAAAGTGGCTTAGTGAAAGGTTAATAATTGTCTTTTTCACAGGCAAAGGCTATATATGGGCTTTGAAGCTCACCTGGAGTTTGTTTTTGCTTTGCAGCAGACTCGTGTGTAGAATTTCTCTCTCCTTTGAAGCTTCAGCTACTTCTTGCAGGAAAGACTTTGCTTTTTCCTCACCAAGGATATTGCTTAGCAGATCTTTCTTCAGCTGTAATGTCATCAACTTCTCTTTGAACTGGGAGCTTTCAGCTAGGGCAGCCTAAAGGAGAAAAATTCTTCCAGTGAAATCGTACCAAAAAAGTAAAAAAAAAATAATCATATAACCACATTATTCCCACACAAGTCACACAAATACAGCAGTATGACAAAGCCAGGTAAAATCAGCATGCTGGGCTGACAAGGGGTAACAGAAGGTACCTGGACAGTGCCCAGTTAAAGGAAAAGTCTTCCTGATAATGTTAGAAGCACCAGGACTGCATCCGTTTTGTGAACAGAAATAGAGGAAAGCTGTATTATGGAAAGAGTTGTCTGTGCAGAGGAGAGGCCTAAACAACCAACAGAAAGGACAGCTTGAATGCTCATCCCAAGGATAAACTTCATCCCTGTTCACAGACACATTTATTCTGGAGATCACAGGGATGACAAAGTAACAAACACCTTCCTGGGCACATGCAGAAATCATGCATTTTAATCCCACAACTATATTACTACACACTCCTTAACAGGCTCCACAGACCTCCCATCCAGGGAGATTTGGACTAATGCTAAACAACATTATCATCATTGTTAAAGACATCTGGCACTTTAATTCAGTTTTATTCAGTTGACAACTCCAGCTAACCAAATGAGGGGCAGAAAATAAGATGTTCTGCTACAGCTAGAGTTAACTATTGACCTCCATCCTGTGGGGTTTCCTGCCATGCTGGAACGGCCCTTCCAGCTGCTGCTGTCTGGCAGCTGTGTGCAGGCAGCTGCTGGCAAAGCCTGGGCAAACACAAACGCAAGTATCAGTTTCTGAACTTAATAACAGGTTTACTACCTCAACGTGAGCCAGCGCTGGCTCCGGAGTCTCCAGGAGCATCTGGACCGATGGCTTCCACTGTTCAAAATCTTGCAGGGGATTTTGGAAGAGTCTTCTCAGTTGGGCTTCTGTATCAGTGCTCATTTTAGACGTCTTGCCTCTAACACTGCAAGGATAAAGTGACGGCCGAGGGAAGGATTATGAAGAAATCCAAGTCCAAACATCCTATTCATCAAGGCATGAATTAACACAATACTCATGTGTAAACTGTATCCAACACAAAAGCCTCAGTCTCTGTTACTGTCTGAGCGTGGTGCTGCGTACAGACAGCTGCTCTGTCACTCAGAGACACCCGACAAAACTTTATTTAGACGCCCTAGGACACATTTGTCTCTTGTGCAACTGTGTATTAGGAATTACTTTGCCTTTCTAGCAGCCAGCAGGCTCCCCTTGTATGTGATCTTTCTTGGCTGCTAGCACCACCATGATTTAAAAAATTTTATTATCGGAGCAGTCTCACTGACTGATGGGAGGAACAAGCCAAGAGTGTCTAGAATTTAACTGCAGTTGCCTGTATTATGTTGCTTATTACTGAGTCTTTGTTGCTTTAAAAAAAACTGTATTAAGAAATCTTTGATCACCCTATGTTATTTATGAAAAGAGGAAAATACATATTTTTTCAGATATAAATTTTTAAAATGTTGTACTTGTATTTATATTAGTATATAGGTGATTCCAATAAAGCTTTGTATTTATATACATAAGTACACATACATACACAGCTGTGAATGTATTTGTACATATTTATTGAAAAAAAAGATAAAATCAACACACATTCAAAAAATATTTATGTTTCTCTTCTAAAGGCTTATCCAAAATACAGCTGAGTAACAAGGCCTAGCAGTGACACACCCCAGGCAGCTGCCTCCTGTTTTTCTTAGCTTTCCTGACCTCCCAGTTTGCAGAATCCTATTTGATGTGGCAGAATGCAGCCCAAACTGTAAGTTCATATGGGAACAGTATCCTGAAAATTCACAAGAGAGGCAAGAGCAATGCTGACAAAGATTAAAAGTGCCTTTCTATAAAACCAGAAATAATCATCTTACCTGTGTCACTGGGATGTTACGGAGCTAAGCAAAGGCAAGCTTGCAGAGGCCAAAAGCTCCGTAAATAGAAAGTTCCGACATTACATGTCCTTTACCATTTGCTCTGCTGCCCCTGCCAGGCTCAGCGTGAAGCTGCCAGACTTTGCAAAGAAGCTTTAGGAGAGAAGCTGGCAAAAGAGCAGCTGCCATTTTCTACTCAGAGGCAAGTCCCCGGCCTTCTCTGCTGCTCTTTCGACATCGTTTACTAGTTAGTTTTCAAACTGAAATCCTTTCCCATAATGACCTATAACCCTTCCAGCAGGACAGCATATTGCGCAGAGGAAAATAAGCTTGGATACAGTAGAAAAAAACAACTGACCTTTCTTTTTCTTTAAAAAAAAAAAAAGATCCTTTCTTCTAGTTTGCAAAATTTGCTGCAGCTTCTGCACTTCCTGATTCCAGGCAGCCTGGAAACGGAAACACTGAAGTCTGGGGAGAGGCTAAACTTTCAGAGTTTCCAAATCAAGGCAAGTTGAAAACAGGAATCATGCATATATGCCACCAGGAGAAGGGGAATAAACTCTGCCAAGTAATTGCTAAGGCTGATGAGTCACCACAACAAACTCAACAAGGGAGGGCCATAATTCTTCTGAGCCATTTACTATTACAGCTCCTGTCCTGATTTTCTAGCTGCTGTCATGAAAGGCAAGCAAAATACATAAATTATTATTATAGAATGCTAAGAAGATCAAATTAGCTGCCAACAATCTAATTTTCTTCGAACCATACACAACATTAACGATGCAAGATCATTGCTTGAAAATGGCCAGCAGCCTTTAGCTCCCAGCAAATGGATAAAATTACAGGTTTACTGAGATGTGGAGGCAGATGAAATTAGCAACGGCCTTTCTTTTCTACCCATCACTTGCAATCGGATGGCATATCGGTTTTGTCATAGGCCCTTGTTAATCCCTTCAATGTCTGAGAGAAGATAGTACCTTTCATACTGCTGTATTGCAGAGACAACACTCTCAGCGTGTGGCTGCACATCTTGGGAAAACCGTAGCAGTTCCTTAAGCTGAGCCTTCAGCCTCTCAACCGTGGACTCTTCTGCAGCCAGAGCAGCTCTCGTTGCCTTAATCATAAAAATAATGAACAGATCACACCTTTGTAGTGTCTGGCACATGAAATGAAGAGATAAGGCTGTCTCTCAAGGTATTCACAAGCCCCCTTTCTGCTGCCTTTTTTTCCTGTTTGTAAGGAATATAGACTTTGCTAAGGCAGAAAACATTCCCGGGAACAGTTTTCTTCCTCCAGGCTCGCTCTCCTCTCCTCCCACTGCTTAACCTCTGCAGGCATCTCATCTGCAGCACTCAGTTTGAACAGAGTGAATCACAAACAGGCCCAGTTTCAGTTCACTGATAGCAGTATATAACATGAAATGTGTTTTTTGAGCAGTATTAACTGCATCTCTTTGCATGAACAGATCTTTCTCAAAAACTCACGTATACAGAATGTTAATTCTAGGGTGAGATAGGGAAACAAAACCAACAAAACCCATGCAAATGTAGCTGGATTGAACCAGTCTGTATTTTGTGGGTCCTTTTTGCATATACTTTTCCCAGTCAGTCCTGCTTAGTTCTAGACATACAAATAGCAATGAAAGGCATTTTAAGAAGAGATAATAAATGCAAAACCAACCCTCAAGAGGAAATGAATGGTAAAAATTCTTATCTACTGTATATGTGACAAACTTTTTCCACTCGTTTTTGCCACAGATTGATTTTGATATAAATACTAAATTGCTAAAAACTTGGGACTTCTTAGGAATGAAGATGTGTTTAATAGTAGGGGATGATGGCTACCCACCTTAAATGGTTCAAGGATATGATACGGAAATGTCCTCACCAAATACCCCAGAAATATGTGTATTTGTATGTATAAGTATACATTTGTATATACTGTGAAGCATCATTTTTCCTGCTTCTTTTTAAGTAGACCAAATTGTGTTGTTTGCTCTGTATTGTGCTCTTCTTTGCATATGGTCCCTTTGAACTCAAGACACAAACTGCAACATATCCTCCAATCTTGCTCCCTCTGTGCAGTGAGATACAGGTTAGACTCCATTGTTACTATTCAGGTTTTCCTCAGTCTGCTTCATACACGCTTGTGCTCTTTCCTTACCACCTTTAACCAACGGGATGGGCACCTGTTGGATGTGACTCTGCACATTCAATCTATGACTGCACTTGATCCTGCTGGTTTTAGGCACACAAAGTTTATCAACTTACATTGCATTTTCTCCACAGAGTTACAAACTCATCTTCAGTCTTTTCCCCTTTCCCAGGATCCAGGTAATTTTCTAGTCTCTGTAGATCTTTTCTCAACTCCTGGACATCTGCTTCTAATTGTCTGGCTTGGGACTCGTAGGCACTTTCTGACTCTTGGAACTTGAGCAATCTCTCCTCCTCTTCACTACTCAGCAGTTTTAACATCTCCAAGGCTTTTCTTAGCTCTTCAAGTTCATCCTTCATTCTCTCAGCTCCAAGTGGCGAAGTATTCTGAATCACCTCTGCACACTGATTTTCAAGATGCTTCCATTTCTTGCCACCATTCCTAATGTTTTTGGCGATTTCCTGCAGAAAGAAGTTAAATCAAGATTAGCTACAGGAATGGGAAGTTGGGGAAAAAGCTGAAAGCAGTAGGAAAAAAAAGACCACCACTCCTGGCTGTACACATTTTGTTCTTCACTTCCTATTTCAAAGTATGTCCTTTTTCAAGTGATCAGAAGCCAGGGTTGGTCATCTGACTGCCTTCTGAGTAACACTAACTGCCACGATTCTGAAAATATTGGCTTGATTTTCATAAATGCTTGACAGCTGAGGTCCCTGACAAAGAAAACAGGAGCTGCAGGCATTAAGAAATACTAATAGATCTCTGAGAGGTTTAAAATTTAACAGTTTAAGCAGTAGCACCAAAATATTGGACAACGTTCTCAAGATTGGTATTTTTATCACCAGCTCTAAACTCTCAAAACATGTGAGCCTTCAGGCTCTACTTGGATCATGTTTACCAAATATTCCTCATTTAAACAAATTTAAAGGGCAAGATTCTCAAAGAATCACATAGCTGTAGGAGATCAGGCTTTAAGAAAAACAAAACAGACCATCCTGTCACTCCTGCTATAGTTGGGAGAACCAACTAAAATTAACAGTTTTAGGACCTGATACAATTCTTCTCCTCTAGCTTATGTTACAATCACCACCTTGTTATTTTCTTCGTGTAATTGTTTTCTTAAGCACACCCTTGAGAAACATATATACAGGCATGAAGAACACACAATCCTAGCTCCCAGTTAGAATTGTATTAAGAACCTTCAGTGCCTTCAACTGGTCCTCTACTGAAGACTTGGATGCTTCTCCAATGCAGTGGTTTAATTTTTGTGTCACACCGTTCAGCCACAATTGAAACTGGTTGACGTTAGCGTTGTACTGTTCGTGTTCCTTGGTTATCTTTTCAAGCAGTTTCACTCTGCTCTGTAACAAGAAAGATCAGAAGCCATGAGGACAGTGCTTATCTCTTTTTCCTTTACACTAACCCAGAATTTATAAACAAGAGTCCTTTCTGCGAGACCTGATAGCAGTTGGCCTCCACAGGAATTCACAGTTCACCTCAAGAAACAGCACACAAAAGGGCATAAATGCTTGTCCCCATCTGGGTCATGCTACAGGCTGTCAATGGCTAGTCTCTAAGGATACAAACTGCAAGGTCTTCTCAGGTGAATTTCTAGCCTCCCGTTTCCAAAACTTAGAATCATAGAATAGAATCATAGAATTGTCTAGTGTGGAAGGGACATTTGAGATCATTGAGTCCAACCATGAACCTAACAATGCTAAGTTACCACTAAACCATGTCCCTCAGCACCATGGCTACTCATCTTTTAATTACCTCCAGGGATGGTGACATCAACCACTTCACTGGGAAGCCTGTTTCAATGTTTAAGAACCCTTTCTGTGAAGAAGTTTTTCCTAATATCCAATCTGAACCTCCCCTGGTGCAACTTGAGGCCATTTACTCTTGTCCTATCAGTTGTTACTTTGGAGAAAAGACCAACCCCACCTCTCTAAACCTCCTTTCAGGCAGTTGTAGACAGTGATAAGGTCTCCCCTCAGCCTCCTTTTCTCCAGGCTAAACAACCCCAGCTCTCTCATTCACTCCTCATAAGACTTGTGCTCCAGACCCCTCACCAGCTTTGTTGCCCTTCTCTGGACATGCTCCAGCACCTCAATGTCTTTCTTGTAGCGAGGGGCACAAAACTGAATACAGTGCTTGAGGTGGGGGTTCACCAGTGCCAAGTACAGGGGGACGATCGCTTCCCTCATCCTGCTGGCCACACACAGGGCAGGATGCTGTTGGCCTTCTTGGCCACCTGGGCACACTGCTGGCTCATATTCAGCTGGCTGTCAACCAACACCCCCAGGTCCTTCCTATTCTCTCATTAGAAAAAGAAGAGAGACAGAAGACTGATTCTGGTTTTGACTTTGGGAGACAAGCACGCAGAGTAAAACCAAAGATGAGCACACAACAGATTGAATTTGCTTATCTGTCAAAATCTGTCTCATCCTAGGGGCATGCAAATTGCTTCTAAGTGTTCGTTACACTGTCCAGAGAGTAACCATCAACTTCCAAGGCATCCCTAGAAATCATATAACCCAGGAACTTTCAACTTACTCAGTTAGCAGATCACACACTATCCTGTGGTGGTACCCTGGGAGCAAATTTAAGCCTATGGGAAGTAGGCTTCATTTTCCGAAGTACTGTGTGTGCACTCTATAACCAACAACCCCTGATCCCACAAGGGCCTGCACAGAATCTCCAAAGGGAGCAAGTCAGAAAAACAAAGTGGAGCTATTTTTAAACTCCAAAGTCTTATGCTAAAATATAGAGGGTTAAAACGGAAGTTTAAATGACCCAACCCTGGCCAGGCTATTCAGCCAAAACAAAGGATCGCACAGTTTGGATACTCCTGCTGGTGTATGAGGCCAAGGAAGAGATGCTATGGATGTGGACAGCCTGTGCTAGCTGTCAAACAAAAGGCTTACCAACAGCTGGCTGAGCACTCCCTCCCCCCAGAGGTTAGGCAGGGAAACTTTATAATGATGGAAAATATGGTATCACTTGCTTCTGTTAGGTTAGCTGTTTGAGGAGCAGGACAGTGTTAAACTCCATCTGCACATGCACTTGGTTAATGTGAGGAGCCTTAAGCAAAGTCATGGTCCTGGAAAGAGTGAGAGCACTGACAGGAAAGCAGTGGGTTTGCTGTCAGCTGCAGAGGAAGAGATGTGTCTGGGCAGGATATGCCCAGCCCTGGGTGCTCATGGAGGGTGGATGGAGGCATAGGAAACCCTCTCCCCTAAGCTCCCCTTACGGTCAGCAAAGGCAAACCAGGTTCCACTGGAAGGCCCTCTGAAGCACAGAAAGGAAGTTCCTGCTTTAAATTCCATTGCAGCATCTCACATAGAGTCCAGAAAGCTCCTGTAGCCCTTCCTGGTGCTTTTAGTGTTAACTCTGGGTTGGCATTATAAATATCTAGGTTTCAGTTAACAGAGACAATAGGGACTGAAATTCATTTGATGTGTTTAGACATATTTCATATATTTGACTAAATATCAACATACTGTATATCATAACTTTTCTTACCATCTTCAGTCATCATTTATGCTAAAACCCAGAACCATCTACCTCTGCATATTGTTATTTTACTAGGCAAGGGAAAGCACATAGGAAATGGCTGCCACATCTAAATATATCCCTGTCAATGTAATTAAAAGAAGATTATGTACTTTTAAAATTTGGGAATGATAAGGACACATGTTAGCACTAAGAAAGAAAGAAAAAAAAAAAAAAGCAACACCTCACCATTTGCTCATACCAAAGAAGCAATGTCACAAGCAGACCATTTAAGAAACACTGTGCAAAAGCTTGCCTTCTGATAGAGCTGGGCAACTGCACAGGATCTAAAAACACTCTTCAAACACAAATGTAATCTACAAACACCAGTGAGCCTCCTCTGGCAGGCAGCTCAGGCATTCAGCTGGCATCCGCAACTCAATTTAGCCTGGCCTCTCATCATGTGAGGGGCCGGAGCAACCCCCTTACAACTCCTGCATCTCTTTCATTCCTTCCTCCCTCCCCTTGGAAAAGGTGGCAGGGTTTCTCTAACTAGTGTTAAACTTTCCAACACGATTCCCAAGGTGCCTGTAAGCTTGGCATTAGCTAATGAACTCTGCATTTACTTCAGCCGCAAAATTCAATGTTTCCCAACTCCCTTCTTTGCTCCATACCTCCTGAAAGAGGAGCTCCTTAGCTGGTTCTCTCACTCCATCCTTCTATGAAATGTGGTATTTGTAACCAATGCCAAAGAAAAGCTTTTTCTAGCATCTCAGTTGGCTGGAGACATAAAGACATATTTTATCTAAGTCCTATGAGGCACTTCCTGATCTCATTTACAACAGCATGTATCCAACTCAGCTAGAGAAATCACACTATGTAAAACCAGTCTCAGAGAGGTCATATTCTGGCTTTGAGTATTCAAATGACTTGGTTGAAAGAACTGCCTTATTAAAATAGCTAATGACTGTCTCCTGCCTCAAAACCAAAGACAAATCTTGGTTAGAAGGGAGTGAGTGAGGATTTTAAATGGCAATCTAGATAGACAAGACCTGAATTCCCAGGAACCTTCTTATTCTTAAATCCAGTTGCCTTGTAATGAAGAGATCTACCTTTAAAAATAAATAATTAACATTAAGGCGCAAGCCTGTTGGTGGCTTTGCAGCCTCTCTGCAGCAGCTGCAGTTACAGAATTTCCAATTATGCTCTGGTTTTTGGAGAGACTTATAGCAACAGTTGTACCTTTATGGATTAAAAAATATCTGAATTTCATACTCATGGAAGGTGCCAACTTGGCAGTTTTTTCATTGCTTTGGGATTTGGGGCAGTTTTTTTTTAAAAACAAAAAAAGCATCTGTAGAGCAAGCAGAGCAATAGCATGAGCATCTCAATGTTGTTGTTTTTCCAGTGTGACCTGAAGTTAACTTCGTGCGACAGCACCCGGGGGAAGGAGAGCACACATCAGCATGTCAGGATCCAGTTCTGGGCTGAGGTGTAGGTGTGAGAACAAATAGAAGGCAACATTATGACAGAGGCAGATAGCAGAGCCAATGTAATGCAAATTATTTGTATTTGCACCAGGTAATTCCAGACTATAGAATTCCTGGACGCCACTGTGAGTCAAAGACTAGCTTTTAACTTCTAGATGCTTGGGATAGATGTGTCTCTATATATTTCAAATATCCCTTTGAGTATTTCTGTTGGTGTAGGCTAGTAAGAAACTTCTGCCCACCTGGAGATGTCTGTCCCTCAGCCATGTCACACAGTCCATTCCTGTCTTGACCTGAGGTTTAGAAGTGAAAAGTATGAACCTTATCTGAAATCTTTACCCAGGAATAGGGTAAAGGAAATCACTGGCACTGAAAGATGAACTATGATGTCTTACACCAGCCTATCTAACAACTGTTCAAACTGGGAGATTAGCATCAGGCAAGAATTAGTATCTAAGTGCAGTGAAAGTCTTTCAGATACTGGAACTGGCTAATTGAGCTCAGTATTGGGCCACAACTGACTCCCACCTCCATGTTTCCCAGTTCTGCAGGTAGGGAGTACAGCTCTGGATGTGGACTAATCCCAGCCCAACGAGGGTGCATGATGTAATATTCCCTGGCCCCAGGAATGGGCACTTTGCACCTGGTTATACAAGGACCACTAATGTGCTGAAAGACGAGGAACAATTCAGACTTCATACAGAGACGACCTAAACTGGGTCACAGCAAGCAGCTTGTAGTTACTCTACAACAACATACTATAAATCACCGTGTAAGAGCATCCCAATTAACAGCTTATCTTGGGACATGCCAACTATTGCAAACAGTCCATTGACTGAAAGAACAGGGATCCTCAGCTCTGTTTCCTTTTGCAGTCCTACCAGGTAAGCCCCAGCACTCAAGAAGCAGACAGCAAACAGTACTGTGTATTGGTGAAATCTGAACACCTCCCACTCTTTATAGGCGTACCTGAGCTTCTTCCCTGATTCCTTCATATTCCATTCTCATTTTCTTCTGAACATCCTCATCAACACTGGGGTCGCCTATCCTGCTGAACAAGGAAGCAGCTTCCTCCAGCAACCTTTCCAGCAGGATTGATTGATTTAAGACATCATTCAGCAGAACCTGAGCATGGCTCAGCTGCCACTGCTTCTCCTTTAAGCCAAGCTGCAACTCAATGTCTGGCTCCAAGATCACTCTCATGTGGTGAATCCATGCGAGAAACTCATCTTGGGCTTTCAGGTACTCACTCCAGTGCAGCCAGACCCACTCAATTCGGCTGTTGGGGAGAGCAAGAGAGACGAGTTAGATGAAAGTATGGTGGGAGCAGTTGAGACTGTCAAGCTCAAAACGTCTTCAAAGCAAATGACAAGGTTCTCAGCAATTTTAAGCTGCTCTGATTTCAGAGGGTCCAGATTCTTCCCAGGTCCTCTCTGCATGGGGGAGGAAATATCTCGTACAAGATTTCTGTGCCTGGCCAGACTCAACATTCAAGACCATGAGGTGGGCTGGCTGTGCAGACGGAGAGCACTGAGGTCCCAGGGAGCCTTTCTCCCCACAGAGTCCTCAACGTGCTCATAGGACTGGGATTAGCAGCGATTGCCATCTACAACCCACCCAGCAGAGAAAGGCAAGAAGCACTTTATGAAAGCACTAGATGAGACAACTGCCTAAACACACCAAACAGCGGTCTTGTGCAGGGTACCTTTGTCTTACCTGTGACAGTGAGTCATGTATATGGCTGTCTCTTCCCACAAGGCTTTAATGTCTTTCAGTTTAGATAGTACCTCATGCTTCTTATCCTCACCAATGCTGTGAAGAGCAGCATCTGCCTTCACAAGAATCAAATCCATTTTCAAGTTGCCTTCTGGTTCCAGTGCACGTATTTTCTATGAGAAAAACAAATGTGACTGAAAGCATGAAAAGAAAGCATGTGTAATTTTTTGGCATTTAAACTTTGTTTTTACCCAGGAATCATGAAGTCCCTGCTGCAAAGCATCTCCTGAACAGAAAATATGAACTTTGCTTCATATTTGTTTATTCTTAAACATCCTAAAGGACTGGATTGAATTGAAAACCATGTAGCAATTGAAAAATGTTTTAAGTTAGCTACAAAACCCAGATCATCTTCTATCCACTATACGAAGCTGTGTTTCGATTTTGGTTTTAAAGTTAAGCACTATGTTGGCACATACAAGTTGTTCTCTCTGACCTGCCAAAGAGCATAGAGACAATCTCCGTAGAGTACACTGCAACATCTCAGTTTTAAGCTCTACTACACGAAATCATAAAACATTTTAAAGAGGCTTTCTATTGCAAATAAAAGTTGGCTCAGAATACAAGCCAAGAAAAATTAACTAGTGGAATTTTCTGCCTGCTACCAACTTTTGCTTTGACTCTAAACTGCTAAACTATGAATTGGTGAAAATGTGTATCTTGCACAAATTGGAATGCCAGGGACTGAAAGTTAAGAAGATAGCCTTCCTCTAGCCAGGATGGAAAACCAGCACAACTTCTGTAAAATGTAACAGATTAATTATGTCCTGATTTGGATGTCAGCTTTCAGCATCACTTCTTCCATATTTTTGACACCATCAGATTTCTTGCTGTTCTTCCTCAAGCTCCTGGCAAACTGCAGGCTCTCAAGTAGGAAGGAAAAGGCCTCTGAGAGGTTCAAAATCAGCAACTACTTCTGGAAAGATTAGACCCACAGGATTTGATCAAAAAAATCACATCAGTTATTGCAAAGGTGAGACCAAATCACAGGCCTTTGGATTTCCCATCTCACATTCTGAGAAAAGACTGCTCTTTTGGCATGTACACAACACATCTGCATGTGACACACAAACAGGCATTTGGATGAACTATCTACTATGAAAAGTGTGTTTAAAAGAGTCCAGGAAAGCAGGGCAAAGGGTAGGGCAGAGAAAGAAAATAAAAAGCCATAGCTATCACCCGACAGGAAAAATTTAACAGAAAAGCTGTATTCTAAGCCTGATATTTGTCCAGCAAATGAAAGCAAACAACAGCCAGAGAGAAAGCCGTGGCTGTACAGGCATTTTTTCTTTTTCAAATCCATTTTTTTAAATGATTGCTATCTTTGGCTGGCATTTTCATTAACAAATTAACAGAAAATAAACCACAGGAAGGAAGCATGAAAAAAAAGGCAAGCCAGATGTGAAAAAGGAACTGAAAAACGATCACTGGATTTGAAAAAGCCAATAGTTGAAGCAGCAGCACATCACGAGGAGACGTGAGCTGGACAGGGAAGCCAGGCCCAGAAAGGAGGCAGGAGGAGGGAGCAGAAGGTGGATAAAGTACACACAGGAAGAGAGAACGGACACTTGTTATTCTTTAGAATGATTCATTTCCGAAGTCTGAATTGCAAAAAATCTTCTAACATGATTTTTTGCATGTTATAGACCTCCTCCTAAGCCCAGAGAAGTCAGCAGGATTCAGTTCAGGCCATATTAAATCACCACAAACCTCTAACCCTCACATCTAGTTATCTCTGCCAGGAATGCACCCCCTTAGCCAAACTACCACTCTCCCTACTCAGGTTCCTGTGTTTCTTGCTTTTCTTTTCTTTTTTTTTTTTTTTTTTTTTTTTTTTTTAAAAAAAAAAAAAAAAAAAAAAAAAAAAAAAAAAAAAAAAAAAAAAGTTCTAGGAAAAATATTAAACCC